AATTTGTCTTGCCGGCTTCCGTCATATTGTCGAAAAAGAAATTGAAAGTGGAGACCCTTCAGCCGCTGTCGTATTTTCTAAACGTTGATAAGATTTCTTGGGAACAGTAAAATAACGACAGAGAAATCACAGTCCAGAACATCAAAGAAGATTTTTTTGATTCAAAAAAGTAGTGTAACGGAAGGGTGAAATTAGTTCAAAAAATTATTACAATAAGTAAAGAGGCACTAGTCAAGTCAGCATTTCCATCTTCTTCCTATACTCTCTCCATGCGCCTGTGTTACCATGCTTGTTCGATGTCTTTTCCGTTTATTTACAAGTCTTGCTTGTTTCATACATACATCCGTCCAGCAATTTTTTTCGGATTTTTGACAGGCATCACTCCTTCAAGCACATTTTAGTGGATGTTCAGCTGACTAAACGACACTCACACATCACTCTCTCTGTATGAGTTCTGTAGGAGGCGGTGTAGCAACAGATAGAAGATCAGCGACACAGATCAATTTCGCCTTGCCTACTGGCTCACAATCCCATTCAACCATTATCAACGAAACGGAATTTCCATCATTGGGGGCGCGAAGTGAGTTGTATCCCTCTGTTCCTTCTTCTTTGGTTTCTTTTAAAACCGTAAGATTTTCCGATAAAGAAATCAATGACATATTCTTGTGGACCGGTTTCTGCTGACAAAGACGCAATGGAAGAAAAATAGTTTGTCAAATGCGACTCATCTCCAGTAATTATTGCTCAGTTCAAAGCCGGTTCATCCACATGATTCTTTGCTCAATTTCTATCTGACGAGTTGATTCGACAGTTTGTCATATTGAATGCAGTGAACCATGAGTTGTCGAGGGTAGAACGGCATATTAAGTGTATAGGAACATTCCCATGCATAAGTTTTTTTGTTGAAAAAATGATTTCAAACGGAATTTGCTCTTAAAGAACATCTTCGTTTCTTTGTAACTCTTGCTTATTTATAGGAAATGTACTTATCTGGAGAAAGTTAATTGATGCTCTGCGAAAATTAGAAGGTGCACTGGGTATCAGTCCTTTTAGGCCCACCGCAGTCAAACTTTTCATCTGTTTTTTTTGTCTCATTATCGAAAAAAGTTTATCTTGGAAAGAAAAAACAATATGTGGACTTGATCTTGACATAGCACATGTTTTTGGTATACATTATCGTTTTTTGCTGGGTGTGCTAAAATTGTGATGATCTAGTAGCGTGAGGCTCTGTCGAATTCACTTTGGAAGAATAGATCATCAAGTTGTATCAATTAAGGGTAAACTAACTCTGAGAGAACAACCAACATTTCGCTGCCACGTTCGAAAAGATAGGGCTGCTCATTTTCTTTCTCCTTTTTCTAAGTAAAAAACCTCCCTGTGAACATGGTTGTGCAAATATAAAATTCTATTTTTATAAAGGCTATTTTCGACTTACCGTGTGGCAAGTACATTTCCGATGTACTTTCGCTCTGCGCTCAAATTTTATTTTCAAATAAAG